CGGTGGTAGAACTGGTGATGGAAGGGAGGGGCATCTCAGCTCCAGTCCAGGAAGTGATTTATACTTCATGTACCTTTCCTGTATAGGTAGAGCAATGGAAGCCCCTGAGTAACTTTTATTCTGAATGTTCGTTATTAACTTACCTATTACAGGGAAGGGGTTGAGTGCAGTGTTAAGCATATGGAGGTAGGATTCTGCATGTACCCAGACCAACAGTTTTGCCAAAGCCAATGCTCCATCCCGTAGGTAAATAGCACTGGCGTAACTTCTCAATGAACCTGCGCTGCAGCTGAGGTAAGGAGTGTCTGATGAAAAGTTACCAACCTTTAGAGCAGGGGTTCTTGACCTGGGAGCAGCAACCAGGAGACACAGCTCATCCTGCTCTTCCCAATTTTTTAAAGGGAAAGGGGTTTGCATCCAGGTGGGAGAGAGGGTCAGTATACAAAAGGGTTGAGAACCACTGCTGTGGGCAAACACTTGTTGTCAGTGTTCTGAGGGGGTTGACGATATCAGCAGCCTCCCCTCCCCCCCAAAAATGCCAATAAGTACAAAGTAAAGGCGATGATTCCCACCATCCCCATGCACACATATGGGGTCTCCATGTGTGGACTCAAACACCTTTTCCAGAATCCCACCTGAAGTCTGCCAGGGTCTGCCCACTCAGATCCCTTTGGGCACCAGGATCCAAATGTATTCAAGTATTTGGTCTGGGATTTTATGACTACCTGATAAATAGCTGATTTATCCAACCTCTCCCTGCAGGTCTCTAAAATGCAATTGTCTGCTGATTACATTTGTACTGACTGTAAATTAGCAGCACAGCCTGACTGGCCTTAGCCAGCTGCATCCAGCACTCCTGAGATGGGGACAGGGTAAAGTTGCTGCAATGAGCTTGTGAGGTCATAAGCAGGATATGAGAGAGTTGGTGAGGGAGGAGGATGTCAACTTGGGGGATATTCTGAGAGGCACAAATAGTAGCTGTCTAACTCACGTTGAAAGTCTGAGAGAATAGGGCACCTCCCTGATGTTTTATGTCCAAAAATCATCTCTTCCCTTGACAAAGTAATAATCCTAAGGGAGATGGGACCTGGGCTGCCGAGAATGGGTTGTGGTATCCATGCTAAGAGGATGTTGCACAGGCTATAAATGTCCTGCTAGTTCACAGAGGCTTTGGGATGGGAGGGTGATAACCAAACCAAGCACAGAGGTGCAGGATAACAGAATAGCCCCCTATTTGTAGTAACAAATGCCACAGGATCAGCAGCGTCCATAGCAGGCAAGGCTGAGATTCCATTCTGTGGTGCTGGCATTCAGAGGGACTTCTGGGTTTGGATGATGCAATTTTGGCATAGGCGAAGAGGAAACTTTACTGTTTGTGCAAACGTGATGCAACTGTCCAGTTACGGTGGTACATGGTAAGTCATGTAAATGTTGGATTAGTGGGGGGGCTTCATCTTTACATTGTATTGTTGATTTGCAAAATTTCTGAAATAAGCAAATTTTAAGGAATTTAATCACCTTGTTTATCTTTCCTAACCCCTGCAAAATGACCCCTCTCCAGGTGCTAAACACGGCTAGAAAATGTGCAGGCGTGTAATGGAAGACATTGCCAGCAGGAAAATGAGGCAGACCTCTGTGCTGCCTGTGAGAAGTCTCTGGAATGAGGCCTCCACGTCAAGAACATACAAACTAAGAGCCGGGTGAAAGAATGGGAATTTTCTGTGAAAAATCCCATGTTTTTGTAGTGAAAACCCAAAATTCAAAAAAATTCAACGAGCTGTAAGAAAACACTAATTGCAAAAGTCTCTGCTTTTCAGCAGCCACCGTGGGCCAAATCCTGGTCTGATATAAATTGGGAATAATTCCACTGACGTGCAGGAGATATGCTAGCCGAACAAATTCCCACGGGGGTAGCTGGGAGCAGAGCATTGAACTGAGTTTTCAGTTCCATAGTTGAGGCAGTTGGGCTGTATTTGGAAGGAAGGGAGTTACCTTTCCACACATTTCAGTCTGTCACCTTTATAGTGACAATTGAGTGAGCACTAGGAATTCTGGTTTCCATCACTCCAGACGTACATGGAACCTTTGCTCCCCACGGAGCAACGTCACTCAACTAACACTCTGCATCTGCTTTGCATGTCTGCTCCCAGCCAACTGAATATTTCTGTTTGCAGATCTTGTTTTGTTTAAATAATGAAGTGTGGGTCAACATTTTGTTCGGAGGCAGGCTTTTTTTAAATCCACTCAAACTTGATATGGATTAAATGAGAGAAACCCCCTACACACCCTGTGGAATACAAAGCCTTATTAAAGGTCATAATTTTCTAAAGGTTTGTATAGAAAGAATGTCTATATGAATAAGCCACAGAATGTACGGTTCTATTTTCCATGGCTGGGGAGTATAAAGCAAGTTTGCTCAGTGGCCAATGTTTCTTCTAACTCAAACTTTGAAAGAAAAGCTATTTAACATGTTACTGACTCTATTTTTGGATTCTCTCAGTTAGTTTCTGGGCAGGCGGGAAACCTGCCTCCTACCTGATGGCCAGATATTGAAGGCATAATATCTCTCTGCAGGTTTGTCAGGGCTTTTCCATGATACAGTGTAGTATAAGTGTATGCTGCGTACAATATAAACAGAGGTTCCCTTTCTCTCTTACACTGTGGCCTAGTCAGATAAATTGTGTTGATGGTAGCACATCCAATGTCTTGTCCTCATGGTTTTGCCTAAAGGTACTGATGTTAACACATAGCATAAGAGTTGCTCCAGATAATGGAAGTGAAATTGGTGCCATTTCAGTTTAGAAAAGAACTGCATTTAAAGGAAGTCTTTAAACTTTGAGGTCTTTAGTAACTCAGTCAGAGGTTAGGGGTCTATTTCAGGAGTGGGTGAGGTTCTGTAGCCTGCAACGTGCTGGAGGTCAGACTAGATGATCACGATGGTCATTTCTGACCTTAAAGCCTATGAGTCTATGAAATATCTGTATTCAGGGTTCTGTTGTGACCTTTCAATGGTAGGAGATATTGCCTGCAGCTTGTCAGCACTTCCACGATAAACTCCACCGGAAGTAAAATAGTTAGCAAGATTTTCTCTCCTTCCTCCCCAATATGCCCACCCTGTTGCTTTTCCGTGTGCACACCTCCAACGGTGTGCACTTTGAGCAGTGTGAGTTTGAGGCTCGCGCACACTGAAAATTTTTACAGCTTTCATTTTTAAATGTTCCACTTAAAAAAAAATGGAGAGGGTCGCTGTCAGCTTCTGAAATGGCAGATGGATGGTTCCAGGATAAGCCCCGGGAGTAACATCAGGTGCGGGGGCTTCTCTCACATCAGGGTGTAGAGATGGCTGCAGGGAGGGGCCTAAGAGCAGGAAAGGTTTCTTCTCCTCCCAGCAGAATGAGTGCTAGTTTGGTGCTTTTCAGAGCCTCCTGTAGAGAAACATTTTTGAAATGAAAAGGCTTCATTCGGACCCCCTCTCATAGGGGGAGGTAGGGAGACTTGTATTGACAAAATGGTATCATGAGCAATATGCACTATCAGCTAGAAGGTAGGTGTGTCTCATTCAGTGCCCTCCCCCACCCCCACCCTGCAGCTACGAATACACCTGTGCCTAGTTTACTCCATCTCTGAGATGCGATAAGGTTCTTGAGTGCATGTACAGAGAGCTCTGCAGGCCAGGTACATACACACACACCCTGTCTATCTCAGGCATCCAGCAAGCATTTGGCCTGAAACCTGTAATCACTGCTATCATTTCTAAGCCTGCCCATGGTGGTGATGTTGTTCCAGACAAGACAAATGACCTCAGAGTGTAAATCCAGCAGTATGGAGCCCCTGCATAGAACTGTGAGCAAATACTCCGCCAGGTCCCCTGCTTGTCCTGCATTCGCACACAATCACTGTAGGCTGAGATTTTTCCAAGCTGTCTCGGAGCTTCGGCTGCTCCGTGTCCAAATCCTTTAGGTGGCTAAAATCTCTGCCAAAATGCTCACGTTTCATATTGTCTGCATGTTACGCTTTAAGAGGAAAATTTTCCACGGCACAAGGGGCCAGTTTTAAACCATTCATAAAGAGAACCTTAATATAAAGGCAGCAGGCATTATGACAGCGGCGTCTGCTCAGCAACGCTATCATGGTGCTTGGTCAGTAGAGGCAGCAATCATCTTTGCCTCTTCAATGGCAGTGTCCTAGCCTTTATTTGAACAGGGGCACATTTCTTGGCTAGGAGCAAATAGGGGCCACACAGCGGTTGTGTGGCACCTGTCTGCCACTCCTCTAGCCACAGGTTTAGATTTTTCTCCTTTTTAAAAATCCTCAGAAATTAACCATAAAAATGATATCAATGCAATGTTAATGTTCGGCAATAAAAAGCCGGGAAATGCACAAGTCAAAGTTGAATGCAGAACCCTCTTGCACATATGCGTTATGGGAATCTTTAATTCCATGAGGTTAGCTGAGATACACGTGTATGAAGTTTGTAGCAAAAGGTATATTTTCAAAAGTGTGATCACATGACTAAACATTTGCAATGTATATGTGCAGAGAAGCCGAATGAAGGTTAGGCATGCAATCTTAATTTTTGCATTTCCTGCCTTTTGTTAGCCAGCGTTGTACGGTCAAGCAATCTTTCACTATTATCATTTGCATTTGACATACTGTGACTTAACTAAATTAACGTTTCATTTTTTGTTATGTTTACACATTTGATTTTGTGCCAAATGGCTGTGTTTGCTCAAGGGGACTAAATTATTTTATTGTTGGGAGTGGTTCTGCTCTCTGTCTCATGCACATATTAAGGTCTGAAGTCCACCTTGTGGAAATGTTATCTGTACAGGAAAAGATTGTATTTCCTTCCCTACCAATCAGTCACCACATTTAAAAAGTTATACTCGTGTTTTGTGTTAGACTGGCACATGAGGTGCCGTGGAGCCAAGACTGATTCTAAGAGCCCAATAACAGCTCCTGTGTCTTATCTAGACAAACATATGTACACCAGCACAAGAAACAAAATTCTGCTACTGCGGCTACAGCTACACTACAGCCAGGATCGACGCTCTGAGATCAATCCACCGGCGGTCGACTTAGCGGGTCTAGTGAAGACCCACCAAATCAACAGCAGATCGCTCTCCAGTCGATCCCTGTACTCTACCCCCAACAAGAAGAGTAAGGTAAGTCAACGGGAGAGTTTCTCCTGTCAACCCCCCGGGGTAACTTAACCTAAGGGAGGTTGACTCCAGCTACTTTATTCATGCAGCTGGAGTTGCGTAGCATATGTCGACTTACCGTGGTAGTGTAGACATAGCCTCAGTGTTTCAGCTGTCAGGGGCAGTTCATGGCACAGTGACCCCAGTAGCAACAACATCAGCAGTGCACAGAGCAGTAGCCACATGTGCAGCAACAAATCCAGCAGTGCTGCGAAGGAAGTTCCAACATATTTGGGAATAACTGGTGGTATCTGTGGCTGTAGTCTATGATAATTTATACTAAAGGGAGTGGTTGGCAGGAACTCCTTGCAGCCCCAACTTTTTGAATGTTTAAGAATGTGAAGCGTATTTAGCATTTCAGCAACAGGAGAGACCCTACCATGAATCTTCCTCACTGTTTTAAAGCTGAGCATCTAAATTTCACAGATGTGATAGTTGTCACTCAGTTCCTCATTCGTTTCCTGCTGTGTCTCCAACGTGTGTCGAAGACTTCCTTCCCCCACAAAAAAGTAGGCTGCAACGGACAGTCTCTTGTCGGTTTCTCCTACATCTTTTCTCCACCGATTCCTACCATGCAGTTGCGTCGTCAATACTAAAAGCTGCAGAACATTGAAATCTGCAAATGTGGGGATTGTGTCATTTTTAAAAATATCAAAAAAAACAAACAGCACAAGGCATAGCTGACTGATTGCATCATTCATTTTCAAAATTATTTTAATAAATGCCTCCATAATGGGATTTACTTGAAGCAGTTGTTGAATCTCCAGGTGCTGCACTGGAGTGCCACAGAGACCAGGTATCTTGCAGAATCAATCCCACTTGCTTGGAGTGCACAGGACCTTGATTATGACTCTTAAGGGTCTTGAGTAGGATACCCCTTGTGAAGTCTCAGAAGTGTAGTATAGCGATAGTGAAAGCAGAGATGGCCCCAGACTGGATTCCCCCCTTCTCCTGAACTTTGGGGAAAGCTTTGATCTGCCCTAAAAATTCACAGCTTGGGTCTCAGACGAAAAGGGGCTGAAGAACACCAAAGGGTGCTGAGGGTACTCTTCAGTACACCATAGGAGATGATTGGCGTTTTGGCCCTATTTATTATTACCCCCCTTTGTTTGCCTGTGGTAAAGTGTGAATCATCAAGGTCACACAGGAAATATGTTGCAGAGCCCGGAACATAGAACCTAGCTCTGCTGAGTCCCATTACAGTGCCTTAATCACAGAATCATTCTTCCTATCTCTGTTCCTACATACACAGACAGTTCATAGCTTAGCTCATCTTGCTGAGCTAGTAGAGGATTTTAATTTCGACCTGCAGAGTAGACAGCAAAGTCTGCTAAGAGATGGGAAAAAATGATTAAAAAGGCCTAAAACACTTACCTCTGCAACTCAGAATAAGAGACCACTAATTGTACATGAGGAGACTTACAGGGAGAAAAATATTCCTACAGACTTGCTAATTAACTTCTCTGATCAGTCATTCAGCTGGACTTCCAGTGAATTCTTAAGTGGGGCATATGCATTCTGGGGCACATGGCTATTTGCTGACTCATTCTCTCAACGCTGCTTCTTTCAGTGCTGTCCAATACTAATATTTTCTTCTGGCCAAGTGTTCATCGTTTGTCTTCCCCGTGGCCCCCAGTTCTTAGCATAAAGACATCCATTTTCATTCGTATATTTCTTTTGTGGTTGTTGTTCATGTGAGTCCCTCATCTGAGACGCATGAAACCATTTCTTGCTGAATGAGATTTGCTCTTCTAATGGAAAAGCAGCTGCTTTTTATTTCTCTATGTACTGTCATTATTGCTGACAGCAGAAGTGTGCATCGTTCTGGGGAGTGTTTCTTGAAGAGGTGAGAGAAAGGGATTTTCTCTTTTTGCCTGACTAGGAAACAGAGATCCAGAAACTCCTGCATTCTAAACTTTGATTTGACACTGTGGCTCACAGCAAATCAGCTGGAGCTACTCTCTCTGCTTCATCAGGTGTTTTTGATGATTCATGTTAAACAGTTCTAAATATTTAACTGTAGCTGCCAACAGTCAAGCATTCACATTGTTTCTCTAGTGTCTCTCACCATGTTGGCTAATGGGATTCTTTTAAAAAATCCCTTAGTGATAGCATAAGTTGCTGATTGTGCGTTTTGGTCTCCTGAGTAAATTTCTCACTAGTTTCTAAGATTATTAAAATGTGCTAGATATTGGCACTGCATGGGTTAACTCTTGCCCATTTAAAGGGACAAAAATTGCAAGAACTTGCCAAAGCAAAGAGAGAGATGAGCTCATTCCTGCTTTCACTGAAATCCATGGCAAACCTTGTATCGGGGCAGGAGCAGACACTTATATACATAAAATTGCTATTTAATGCTATTTAATGCACTACTGCTACCCTTGCCCCTCTTTGTTAGCTTAATACCGTACAAGCTGGCACATGTACTAGGAAGTGCCCAAATCACAGGAAATAGTGCTTCATATTGTTGCCCCTTCTTCCAACACCAGTGTCCCACTGCTGACACTGGGACCAGCCCTTTGTGAGCAATAGCAAGGCTTTGATGACCACTTCGCAGTGGTGGAGAAATCAATTACTTGAAGTTTGGGTCTATTCTAAATGTAAATTGCTTCATTTACACTCCACAGCCACCCCTCCCCCCGACACACACACACACCAACCCTACCACACAGCCAGTCACAAACAGCCTGGGTACAATTGCCTCTTTCAGTAATCTCAGGGCTTGTCTACACTTAATATGCTACAGCTGCACAACTGTAGCACTTCCTGGTAGACACTACCTCTGCTGATGGGAGGGATTTTCCCATTACTGTCATTAATCCACTTCCCTGAGAGGCAGTAGCTAGGTTTACGGAAGTATTCTTCTGTCAACATATTCTCTATATGGGAACTTAGGCTGGCTTAACTACTCCACTTGGGTGTGGATTTCTCACACCCTTGAGCAACATAGTTATGCCAACCTAATTTTCCATTGTAGACCAGGCCACACACCAATGCTAAATTCCCAGGAAACTACCCTTCACTAAGAACTTTCTTACTGTGTGCAACAGTTTCCTCTCCACAGAACTTTCTTGCAATAATACAACCTTTCTTCAGAGACTAAAAACTTGCTGGCCCACACAGAAAGAGTTTGTAAGACTATGTATAACTGCACCATCTGGTGACTCCTACCATAACAGTATCATTGCAAAAAACAAACACACAAAAATACTGCAACCCTATCAAATGCCCCAAACAATTATCCTGTTTTACATTGTACCTGTGCCTGAGTGTTGGAAGTTTTGTAAACTGAATGAATTATGCTCATCCTACAATTCTGTTCACCCATATCAAGCAGTTCACAACATTGTGCAAAGCTCAAGTCAGCTTTGGAATTAAAAAAATAGGAAACTTGTCAAAGCAAAGATTCAAAAATACTTTGTAACAAGTACAGTTAAGGAGTACTTTCACGGTTTATTAACTGGTTTGGAATGTAGTATCCAAAACAGAGATAAGAATAGTACAGAATAAAACAAGTCAAAGAATTCAGAGTAGTCAAAGAATTGTTACAAACTGTTAGGTTGGATTTTAGTGATATGTAAAGAGTTTTGTAACTTGTGTGACAAAGCTCTGTCCTTGCCTCTGTGGATCCCGCGTTTCCTGGCGGATTTCACTAGCCTCAGAGGCTCACTGTGACCCTCCACGTAACCCTTCTTTCTCTAGAGACAAGGGTCACAGTCTACTGAGGCATTTTCATCATAAGCCAGCGAGGGAGGTGAGGAGACTTTATCCTTCCTTGCACAGTTTCTGTTGTCTCCCAGTCTCAGTGATTAATCAGGGGGCAAAGGTGGAGAGGGGGGGAGCCCGGGCCCGCCCTCTACTCCGGGCTCCAGCCCAGGGACCCTAATAGTATCAGCTATGGTAGCCGACCTTTTAGAAACATGACATGTGCAATTCCCTGGGCTACTTCCCCCACAGCAGCCCTCACTTCCTCAAGCTTCACTTCACCCTTACCTCAGGGCCTCCTTCCTTGTGCCTGATATGGTGTGTACTACTCAGCCACTCCAACAGCGCAACTTCCTCCCACAGCTCCTGACATGCACACCCACCTGACTAACTGGGAGGCTTTTAACTAGTTTCAGCCAGCCCCTGATTGGCTTCAGGTGTCCCAATCAACCTAGCATTCTCCCGGCCTTCTGGAAAATTAATTGGCCCCAGGTGTCTTAACTGACCTGGAGCAGCTTCCATTTCACTTAACCTGGTACCAGGGATTTGTTTAGCCTGGAGCTAATATATCTATCTCCCACTACTTTTCCATAGCCATCTGGCCTTGCCCCGTCACACTTGTAAAATCATACTATAAATGCTACTAGCTGAAATGCATATCTTTGATCTGTTTAAGGTGAGCACACTGTAAATTTCTTTCCCAGAAGTAGGGTATGTATGTCTCCTTTTCATATTGTACTTTTTTTGCCTTTAGACAATAAATTTAGCTCTTTGGTCTCTTGAACATTTTTAAGAACAAGCCACATGTGTACTCAAACAATTGGCTACACGTTTTAGCATATGTTTAAATGCCAAAAGAAGGGAGTGGGGAAAAACACCACTGTAGTGAATCTCAGAGCCGGCATTTTCTGCCCTTTTTTTCCAGTTCAACCAGTCTTCAGTTCTGCATAGTCAACTGCCAAGAGCTAACTTCTAAATATAGTTTTGTCAACTATTCCAAGTTTGTGAAATTCATGGACAAATTCCCGCAGGAGTACAGAGCATAATTCCAGACTGACTGAGAAAGATAAACTTATAGCGAGATTATCCCTACAAGCCTCAACTGATGCAGCGGACACAGCCTCTCATTTGACGTTGACAGCTGTTGTCATTAGCTGAGCATCGTGGCTTCATTCTTTAGAATTCCCTAGGGAAATTCATTCCACAATGGAGAATGTGCCCTTTGAAGTGAATAATCTTTTCGGTGAGAAAACAAATGA